TATATCTAGAATGTCTCATTAAGGTTAATTTAAAAATAATTACTACTTATTCGTCCGTAATGTATCCTAACTCGAAAAAGGCATACTTAAACAGTAAGATACAAAAAAACGCCATGACCTGTCCAAGTTATACATACAATAAAATAAAATATCGTCATAAAATATTTAAATAAAAAATATATGTTATATAAAGAATAGATAAAAAAATTGAATAAAAAGATCGACACCTCCCTTTTCTTTAAAAATAAATTCTAACTTAAACTGCATTCTTTTTTATATATTCTTTCCATCCTAATAAACTTTATGTAAATATAATTTAGAGACATGTAAGCATAAAACAATATAAGAAAAACAGTTTAATAATTTGATATAATTTTTCATTGAATAATAATCAATTATCCTAAATGAAAACATAAAAATACCAAGGCCATTGTTGTACATCATGTTTTACGATCGTTAATACACTCGTATCGGTATAGAGTGGTCAACGTCATGCTCCACACGCGGAGGGACTTCTTAAAGGCCCCGCACGTAGAAAGGTCCTTAAAGGTCCTAAAGGGGTAGCCCATTCTGGAGGTGTGCCGATCGGGCACCGGCATTTAATCGTAACGAATCGCCCTCAGGCCCCGTAGGGGAGTGTGTAATCGACATCCGGTTCGCCTAATGTCGAACGAGTAGCGCCCTGTAATCTGCCGCTAGCGTGTGCATTGTCGTGCGCGGGTCCCCTTCTCGCTCCTGAAAGGGGCACCATAGGACCGGAGATCCCTTTCTCGAAGAGAAGGCGAGACCGGGGCCCGGAATAGCGTTTGCTCGACCTTGCGACCATGATTTGCGAATAATACGACCGGATTCACGAATTTACGGGATCGAGTGTCTGACGTGCGCAAAAGCGTTTAGGTCTTTAAATACTCTTCGTTAATTATAAAATGTAAAAAAATTACTTATTTCTTAATTTAAATCCATTTGAACATGGAAACAAATTATTAAAGATATATAGTCCAGTATGTTGAAATAGTCAATTATATATTAAACGTATCACATAATAAACTAAGAGTAATACAAATTATTCAACCTCGATCTTTAATAATCTCTGAAGTTAATTATCACTGATTTATATACATATATCTCGATAAAGCTTACCACGTAGCAGAATTTTCTTGAGAGACCTCCTGACGGTTGTACAGTTCCACCTTCGATTTCGAAATTGGTATTGACATTCCCTAGTACCTACTTGAACACCCTTCGCGATTTCTTTCAATAAAGATGGCTCCTTACGACAAATGTCAGCTAGCTTTCCCTTCAGACGTCTTGTTTTCTTACAGACCAGCATCGGATCCATCACCAGCTGGCTTCCTACAGTCCTATAGAATCAAAAATAAAAATACGTGATTAAATATATTATATTACGTATTAAATATATTCAATATATTTTGTTATACCTACTCTTTAAAACTTTTAGAATGAATTATCATTCTAAAGAATGAAATCTCGCTCTTAAAGATTGAAAATTGAACCACTCTTTTTCAAGACTGGCTGAATTTATTTCACTCTTTAGAATGAAATTTTACTCCAAAGAATTTAAAGAATAAAAATTATCAATGAATGAGAATACTGTTATAAATACTGTATATCTCTTGCATCGTTCAAATTAATTGAATAATTTTTTAGCGATAAAATTAGACAAATACTGATATAAATAAAAAATTTATACGTAATTATACATGTTATGCGTACTTATTCTTGAATGATAAAAAAATAGCAGCAATCTAAACGCTTCCATGTATAATTAACTTATCTGCACTCAATATACTCAAAGTAACGATATAATCGTGCGAACCGCGAAGAACTCGGAGCAACGTCGTTCCCTCAAGACACGACACGCGCTAAAGAGGAAAACGGTCAGAATAATTTACAGAAGCTACAAATCCCGCGGCCGAGTTGCTGGTTATTTAGCTACGCAATATCTTTCCGCGCGCAATGTGGAAAAGGAAACGCTCTCGCGTGAGATTAAACGGCAGCTCTCCTTTCCCGCGTGATGCTTATCCATTCCTTCTAAAACCCGTAGAATCTCGGTTCTATAAGCACGAGTGTTGTCTCTCGACGCAGCCCTGATCCTCGCGATTAATCGCTCGTGTTTGGATCAGAATTTATTTCTCCTTAAGCACACCGTCGTGCCTCATAAATCAGTCGGAGCTTCGCTATTTACAGAGAATTCGGATTTACCCCATTAACATCGTCTGAACACGGAAGATTTGTCATTCTCAACGAATTCTTTAATACTACTAATTTTTCGTGTTCGCTACGCGAATAACCAGATCGCACTATGCAACGAATTATATAATAGAGCGATAAATTAACAAGGAAAAAGCGCTAAAGTTCTGTATACGTTTCATTCGATTGTGGCTACTAAAGTGGCGGTGTCAGCTTGATACACGTAATTTACTAACGACGAGTGAATTATAGTAATTGTATTGATGCCGTGCAATTGCGGTCGACACGACGCAATGAGATTATTATGCCAATGAAAGTTACTGTTTCTCTTCTCTTTTCCTCTTCAAGTATACACTGAGAGAAAAATGTTTAGTATTTGTACCTATAATTACATATCACTATAATTATGATTATTACTGCTATAATAATAATAACAGTAACTATGTATATAGTTCTAGCAACAAATGTATACAGTTGGCAAACTAAAATGACTATATAATTATAGTTGTTATGACCATAAAATAGTTGAAATTACCATAAAAATGATTTAAGTGACTATAATTTTATAGTTATATTTTGGGACAACCATAAAAAATATGGTTATTCCAAAATATGTAATTATAGTTACAAATACCAAACATTTTTCTCTCAGTGTACACTTCAAGTAGGATACTAAACGTCTCTAACATTTAGCGATAACGCATAAAATTTCATTACACACAAAAAATCAATAACTGAATGATCGTATTATGAAATGACAGAAAGGTGATAAAGAATTAATAAGGCAAGATCATGATGTATCCTGTGAAGCTACGGTGGAACTTTGTGAGAGACAAGAAGATGAAGTTTGCAATACCACGTCATAAGGGAATAACGACGGGAAAAAATCGTCGAAGAAGATGAAGATGAGAAAAAAGGAAAATTATATCACGGATAGTAGGTATGACAATCGAATCTGAACACGCTAACACCATTACGATAATTAAAGCTCCGGCGTATGAAACTCGTGGCGACGTATTCCTACGAATGAAAAAGAAAGACATAGAGCAAGAAGAAAGAAATGTTATGGAGGTACAGGAAGACCCCGTAGAAACGGAAAGAATGAACGAGTATGCTGAGAGGGTGTAAAGAGGGAGGAGAGAGAAAGAGCAGAGAAGAGACAGGTTGATGATTGCGCCGGGGGTAGAAAAAAAAGAAGAATAAAGCGAAATGGATTCTGAGTGAACTACGAGCGGTGGGAACTACGAAGTTGAGAAAGACGACTCGGAGGCAGAAAGGCACCAGAAGAAGGACGAAGGGGAAAAGGACGAAGTGGAAGAAGCGCGGACCCGCGAAGGGCACGAAGACGGAAAGGTAAAAAGAGAAACGGTAGGGGCTCAGGAAGGGTTAGGGGAGGGAAGAGGGAGAAATGGAGAAGAAGAAGAAGAAAGAGGACAGTCCGGGCGACCTTCGTTACGAAACGTTAATTAAGATCATTAGTTCTGCGTCGGTAGGATGCCAGGGCGCGTACACGACGGCCTCTCGGGAATGCAACGACCTTAATGGCAATAATTCCGTTAAGGACGGTTGCTCGCGCGCCCATGTACATCGCCACGGCGTCCGTTCTCGATGTGCTTCCTCTCCCTCCTTGCCCTTCTACGCTTTTCGTTCTGCACGAACAGGAATAAGAAGCCGAAGGTAGTACGACATGGAGAGTCGTGCACGAGAGTGACATCGTCATTTGGGCGAGGAGGATTCCACCTTGAGTGGCGACTATAACCGAGAATGACGACGACAAGAACGGAGATGATACGCGAGATGATACGCGGACGGGAATTCACGAGAAATCCCTCGATCGAGAGATCGTGGAATGATTTCGCGCGTGAGCGAAACGGAGAGGTAGAAAGAGATATGAACGGGGTAGAGAAAGAAAAGAGGAAAAAAAAGGAGAGCAGCATCGCTCTCGTTGGAGCAAAATATGGCGCATGTAATGTCTCGCGGGACGATCAGATCCACTGACAGAGTACAAGCCGCAGGAACTTCGATTCGTCGATATTCCTGTTAAGGCCCTTGGTCCCGATAGAGTCTGACGGACGACAAGTGCCGAAGCTTCTTCAATCTGTTACGAGGGTTCTCCGAAGAAAACGGTATCCTGCCTTCGTAACGAAAACGCCGTTCGTATAAAACATATTGCATTATATAGGATCAAGCGGAATGTTCTCTACAAGGGGTATTTCTCGATTTATCAAATATTACTATTAATATATTTATATGTATTTCTGTTAAAATATTACAAATTTTTGCATTTTCCTTCCCTCGAACACCTTCCTAATTTTTTGTCATACATCTCAAGTATATTTTTCAGGTTAACTATCGATTAAAAGAAGAAGGATTGGAAGACGCGACGTTACACATATTTCCTAGTTCTCTTAGATCACGACCAGCTGTCAGAAGAGCTGCGAAATCTTCCTGGAATTAACGCATGTACTATTTCTCGACCGGGCATCAATCTACGCGAGAATGCAACGAAATCACTAGGCACAAGATAATAGACGAGCGACATAGATATAGCTGTATTCCGAGAAGTTGCAGTATGCGAAACTACATGACAAGTTAAACATTGTATTAAGTGTAGGTTATTGTCGTGGTTCAAATGTCTTACATTGTGTAAATTTTATGGGAGAGAGGAAATGAATATGCCTGTCGGAAAGATAGTAAACATTTATGCGTAACTTTATACACGGGTATTCAAATAAATTGTCAGATTATCGTGTCTTATGTAAATCTCGAAAATTGTACTTTACGTATTTTATTTCTAGCAGTAATATACTTTATAGATATATTTCGTATCGTAAATATAAGTTAAATCTCTGACCTTTAATGATATAATATTCATATTCCAAGATTTTATTACGCAGCTATAAACTATATTACCGTGAATTTTTTTATAGTGCAATTACGGTACTAATTAATTATGAGACTTCTGTCGCAACATGTGGTTTAAAGAATTTAATAATAGTATTCGTTGAATTGAATCAAAACACACTATAAGTTAAAATAACATCCAATGCGTTTCGCTAATTCATCGTGATTTATTCCGTTCTCATTGCGCCTATAATTCGTATTGATAGTTTTCGTCGGAAAAACGTCACATGTTCAAATAAAGGCGAAGGCAACTTCCCGGAGTTTATCCGACCTTTCGACTTCAAAGACCGTTTCCTAGTGGCCACGCGCATCTCACCCCGTTAGTCAAATAAACGGTAGAACCGCTGTGCGTCGATACTAAAAGACCAATCCCCGAGGCGGATAATAAAGTTATGGCGTTATTGCAAACACGCTTTTGACGAGCGCCGCTTATGCGAACGTTTCGCACTCACGTCTATTAATATCGCCAGAGGCAAGTTAATGGGAATTGGAGTGGTCAGGAACTATGTTGCCATTCGTCTTCCATCTGTCGATTGCGATTTCGTAACTTTCCACAGACTAACATATGCCAATTTTATTCGCATTATTCGAGATGGAGAGAAGTTAGTGAAATATTAATAATTTTAAATAAATTAAATTAATAAGAAATATGAAACAAAAATACCAAGGATTTAAAAAAATGTAAGTATTCTACATATAATCTCGAAAAAAATATATCCTCTAATTAGACGAGTAATAAATCAATGTATTATGTATATATCGTATAGCTAAAAATTAAAAAAAAACGATTTTACTAAAGTATCTAAAAATGTAGATAGATGCATTTAAAAATAATTTTGCTGAACCATAAAATAATTATGCAGGAAACTCAGGCATGATAAATGTTGCAAAAAGTTTTGACGTTATAGCGATCAGTTTGAACGTTCTACATAATTATTTTGATAGTGTAAAAAAATTATTTTATATTTCTATACTCTTTAAATTTCTTTGGAGTGAAATCTCACTCTAAAGAATAAAAATTGAGCTAGTTTTGAAAAAAGTGGCTCAATTTTCAATTTTTAAAAGTGAGATTTCGTACTTCAGAATGAGATTCATTCTAAAAATTTTAAAGAATAGCTTTTAGGTATTTCAGCAAATTCGTTTTTTTCTGTGCAAATATAAATTTGTTGTCTATAAACTTTTTCAATATCGGTGCACATAAATATCTAATTATGAGACTCATTACCCAGCAGTATAATACATCGTC